TCCTGCCAACCGAATGATGGTCTGGCTTGAAATATCATTCCCTGGAGGGCACAAAACCTGACCGGTGAATCTGGTTAAAAATCTCAGCACAAACCTATGCTGGGATTTAAGACTTAAAATAGGTAAAGAAAGAGATATATGCCTGGTTCTGTTTCTTACCTTGACCTTACAGATATTACAGACTTTTTTTTATTGTCGCTTCTACTGTTCCCCCTCCCAAACGAGTGAGGAATGTTATTGATGAGGACATTTAGAGGAGGTTTATTTTGGTAAGGGATGTAATGAGCATGATTGTGTGCTGATTACACCCAGCCAACGTACTGGAGTGTCTTGGGTGAGCTACGAAGAGGAGATGAGGGTAAAAGCGAGCGGTGGCAAGCCTCATTAACGGAAAATACTCTGCTCCGCTGCCGAGGCCCTGCTGTTGATGAGGAACCTAACTGCTAGACTCTCTAATTATGCGCTGTAACCACCATTCCACAGAAAGCAATAACCCCCACCTCTCTGCATATGCAAATATGACAGACCCGATCATTAGGTTTTATGCCTCAAAGCCAAATTGTTATTGTAAAACCATTGAAGCCAAGGGCAAAGACGTAAAACTCTATCACACATTTTGACACATTTTTTTTTTTACGAGCTTTCCTCAATAACAGAACAAATGTTATTGAATGTCATGGATAGTCAAGGGTAATGTGCCATGAAAGAATTGTTTCAAATCAGAACAATTATTTGAGGCTTCGTTGAAAAAAAAAAAAAAGATTTTCGGAGCCAAGAATATATAATTTGGCTCGTTCTCTGCTCCGTGTTTCCCAGCATTTTGGTTAGCCATATTGAAATTTCATTATGATGCCCACAAATTATGTCCCATATGTTCGTGGGTCTTGTGCTCCACTCACTCCCTTGACTATTAAAAACAATTTCAAAACACGTTCCGCTGCTGGTTTTAAATGCACATTTGGTCTTTCAGAGGACAAACTTTTTAAATATATTGCTTTAGTTTAAAAGATAAAGATAAAGTAAAAAAGTACATGTGCACTCACAGAAAACAGAAGTGGTTGCATTTGCCCTTGCTTGACCGTTAGACTTTCCACTGATCCACTTATAATGGAGTTCAGTGAACCAGCTTGAAGAACGCTGGAGGCTTCAGAGTATGTGAACCTGTCAGGCTTGACCATTAGCATTAAAATACCATATAGTTTCTCACATCTGTATATCGCAAAAGATGTGCTGACCCTCCCAGTTCACTGAGCTTTGGCAAGGTATCCAAAAAGTCAGCCTGTGCAGATAATTACTGGGGAAAAGCCCTACAAAACAAAAACTGCAAGACTAATTACAGAAAGTTAACTCTATTTCCTTTTTCTTTTAGCACATTTTTCTGTGTTTTCAGTTTATGCATGTGTGTTGTGTGAGAGACTGTGTGTGAGTGAGTGAGTGACAGTGATGGAGAGGTAGAAAGAAGACTTGTGAAGAAATTTCAGCACTTTTTTTCTCAGTATCTCTTTCTGCATGTCCGTCTCTCTCTTTTATACTCCTCCATACAGCTTTGGAGAGACACATCTCTCGCTGTTCTCAATTTCAAGCGTTCACTCTCTCCTTGGTGACATCTCTGCATTGCAGACCATATTGCTTTCCTGCCATTAAACTTCATTCCCGTCACACGGTGATTTATCAACATCAGTGTAGTGTATAGACATATTCAGAGCATATTCAAAACGGTATGCTTAAGTAAAAAATCTTTTGTGAAGCAACTTCCTCAATCAAGTCGAACTTCAGTCAAGAGTGAAACCTCTTAATGAAGCGGGATGCGACTAGCTAATTAGCCCATTAAAATAAATTAAGTTATTAAAGTATTAATGTTCCTTCTATATATCCAACCCACATCAAATTAGGGTTTTCTCCCCGGTCATTTCTCAGAGCATCAATCGTTTATTAAAATGCAGACATGCATGTCAGGCGACCCAACACTACACTGCTGACATGCCATATTTGCACTAATGCAATTTACAGCTCTGTCTATTGGTAAATTGTGTTTGCTGTGAAGTCTAAATGGCATGTTTCCAACTCTAAATCGAATGTTTTTGCATTGATCCCACTGGCTGTTTTACTTTGCTTATCTAGAGCCACCACGAGGGACATGTGTCTGTCGTTGATGAGAAGCGTGTTGTGGGCTTGTGTCGTTCATAACAGCCACCTTCTTTAGTGTCGGGCCAGGTTAATATTATTACAGAGCAATTGAGGAGATAAATCTCTAATTGAAATTTGAATGCAGACCACCGCAGACAGATCGCCTCTAGCCTAATGCAGCAGGGAGGGAAGAAAAAATCAATGTGTATTAAAAAGGACGCTGCACAAGGCAATTAACAGCTCCTCCGCAACTTGTTGTTGTAGTTTCTGGAGGGGCCGGTGAGGCATATCGTTTCAGACCAACGTCATTGCATTGGGTCACTACTTCCCATAGGGCTGTTTGTTTCTTTAGAATTAATTACCTCCGTCAGAAAAATAAAGTTACATCTTGGTCGACTGACCTTTAGTCAATCTTAAAAGAATAATTGACCCAAAAATGAAAATTTGCGGGAAATCTACTCACCTGCCTCAGGCCATCCAAGATGAGTTTTTTCTTTATCAAAACACATTTGGAGAAATTTAGCATTACATCACTTGCTCAACAATGGATTCTCTGCAGTGAATGGGTGCCGTCGGAATGAGAGTCCAAACAGCTGATTAAAAACATCACAGTAATTCACAAGTAATCCACACAACTCCAGTCCATCAATTAACATCTTGAAAAGCTGCATTTGTATAATAAACAAATCTATCTCTAAGACATTTTTAACTTCAAACTATTGCTTCTGGCTAAAATATGAGTCTTCTATCCATAATATTTCTTTCTTCATTGAAAAAGTTGTCTCATCTGAATCAGGAGGGAAATATATATAGTTCAGGCAAATCAGTCCAAAATGGTTCTAAACAAATATTGTTTAAATATACATCTAAACAAAAATATGTATTTTGAAGTTAGAAGACATCAGTGTACTCATATTTTGGCCAGAAGCTGCTTGTGGGTTATTGTGGTTGTTTTATCTGCTATTTGGACTCACATTCTGACGGCACCCATTTACTTCATAGAATCCATTGGTGAGGAGGTGATGTAATGCTAAATTTCTCCATATCCGTTCTGATGAAGAAACAAACTCATCTACATCTTGGATGACCTGAGGGTAAGTACATTTTTAGCAAATTTTCATTTTTGGGTGAACTGTTCCTTTAACACCCGTTCTTTATCATTACTGTTGGTCTAGTAAGGTTCTATACTGTATGCTAACATAAGTTAATCGATTAGGTGTCAAATTGAGCCTTATTATTTTACCTTACTAGTTTTCACATTTTAGAATTCTAGCAATAGTACCAAAGACAAAACGGCTGCGTGTAAATATGGATTTTAAAACTAACAGCATGTTTAGTCTTTTTAAAATCAAATGCATAAAGCATCAGCCGGCACTAAAATTTCAAGGCTATTATTTGAACAAGTGTAGCGTCTGGACCAATCAAAAACACAATTTTTAATTTGATTTAACAAATCAGTTATTCATTAGATTAACAAATCGTCACAGTCCCCTCACCCAATAAACTGGGTGCCAGGATGTCTGCAACGACACCAGGCCCCCCTTAGTTATGATTAATTATTCATATTTCCCCATTAGCTGATTCGCTACACAAGACAGCATTTAAAAATTATTTGGTTTTCCAACTAATTCATTCAGTATCATGTTCAGAGTACAGAATGTGAAGACATGTCAAGTTCTTTCAATTCAATTAAAAAAAATATTGTTTTAATGCAGCTTTACAGAAATCATGCTTTTAACCCTTTAGAATAAACAAAAAAGCAAGTGTGCGATAGGAAAAGAAGAAAAAAAGATGGGGATAGCATTATTTATTAAATGTACAGTATATATGCCGTATTATCTATTATACAGTATCTAGTTCCTCTGTATGTGTAATGTTAGTCATATATTTACTGAATAAATTAAACTATGATATGCAAGACAATATGTGTCAGCAAACAACTCATTTCAAGTCATTTTGTTTTTGCACCTTTTTTTTTCTATCGCACACTTGCTTTTGGTTTATTCACTGAAGGGTCAGAAGCATGATTTCTGTAAAGCTGCATTGAAACAATATTTGTGTAGTGCTTTTTAAAATTGACTTGAATGGACTTGACATTTGCTCGCATGTTCCTCACAAATTTTCTTTAGTTTCTGTATAGTTTTTCCCCTGTCACTTAGCCTATAATGTAACAGATTGTTCTGTCTATCTAAAACCACACTTACAGTACAACACTTGAGCAGTGGTGTTGGAATGCTGCTGCATTCTGGAGGATTTATATTCTATGGGAGTTACATAACTTGTTTGGTCTGAAATAAAGTAAAACTAAAGGTACAACACTTGAGCAGTGGTGTTGGAATGCTGCTGCATTCTGGAGGATTTATATTCTGTGGGAGTTACATAACTTGTTTGGTCTGAAATAAAGTAAAACTAAAACATCTAACATTATATCACAATGCAAATTATATCTAATATGAATATAACAACTTTTATTGCGATTAACCTGTATGTGCCTTCTCAATAGTGATTTGTAGGTTGACATACATTATACAAATAAGGAGCATAAATTCGGTCAGTGTGTCCTAAAGTACTGTAGTGCAGATTAACGTTATGAAAGCCACATAAGAATTTGTCATTGACCAGGATTATTTCACTTTCCTGTGCATGAGCATCGTCTGCTATAACCGTCGTGCACGTTGTAGCCTAACCCCCCCCACACACACAAGTTGCTTAAGCCAAATAAATACTCAATCCTATAGGAAAGAGTCCCCTAGGAATCCCTGACTTGTCCAAAGCCCCGCCCCTCGCGCGTGACGCTGTCCATCACAGTAGTGCTGCTCTCTGAAACTCCGCGAGCTCAAGCGCGCGCCCGAGCCCGAGCAGATCGCTGCTGAAAGCGCGAGGCGACGGAGGGAAAGTTGTGCTGCTCAGACTCTGGAGGATCACCGTTCAACGAACGAGGAGCGAATTCACGCACCATGAACACTGTCGCTTGAGAAAAGGAAGAGTGCTGTAAACTTACAATCATGTTTTGGACTATTTTGTTGCCATATTGTGTGACTTTTGTGCTGGGAAATAAGCCAGACGAACGAATACCTTTCTTCCACGGGCATGTGTTTGAGAACTCTCCACCTGGCTCAAAAGTGAACGGACTGAGTATCCCGGTGAAGCGGATCGATCCGCAGCGATGGTGCTCCAAGTCCGGGATGCACCTGAAACTCCTGGGGGACAGGAGTGAAGATTTCCAGGTCTTCGCGCACCACAAGCGAGGACACATCTTGCTGAAAACCTCTAACGTTCTCGATCGAGAGGAGCGCGCTGAGTATCTCCTCAGTCTGGCGCTGTGCTGTCAGAGCTGCGCTTCAGCCGTGCGCGTCGTGGCCGAAGTTGCTTCAGTTAAAGTGGACGTGCTCGACACGAACGACCACGAGCCCACTTTCCAACACGCAGACGTCAAAATAACTTTGGACGACGCCACGGCCCTGAGGTCGGTGGTGTACACGGTGAAAGCGGAGGACATCGACAGCGGCAAAAACGCCGAGCTCATATACTACGCGCTTCCTAGAAACGGCAGTTTCTATGTGGTGCCCAAAACCGGCGACATCCTCCTCGTGGACTCGATTCTGGGTCTCGCGCAGCCCATAAAGTTCAGCGTGTTTGCGCGAGACCACGGCTGGCCCGCTCGGACCAGTCAGAATATGGATGTAGAGATCAGTCCGCGCCAATGGCCAGCCCTTCCTCAGATCGATAACGGACTCTCGAGAAAGTCCCGCTCCGTGCCGGAGCCGGTGCTTATCACCGTGTCCGAAGACGCGAGTATCGGCTCCGTCATAATGAATCTACACCCGGTGAGGTTTCAGTCCGCCAGTTTTGAGCTGATTCACCCGGACGCGGATAACTCTCCCGTCACTGTGAGTCGGGACAGCGGAGATTTGGTTATATCAAGACGGCTCGACCGAGAGACGCAGCCGCTAGTGGAGATAACTGTAAAAGTACAAGATAAGCGAGGTGAGTGCGCCGTGACTAATCCAAATATCTCTACAATACGACTATATGCCCCGGTCCCTTTCCCACATGTACAGTGCGTGCCACTGTCTCCAGCGCGTGCTGGCAGATTTCACCTGAACACCCCAAAAAATGACGCGCGCCTCACGTACCCAAATCCTCCTCCTCTTCTCTCAGACTGAGCACGTCATATGCAGCTTCCCTCATTACAGATGTACAAAGTTCACAGGAATCAAAGTTTAATTATCACCTTAGCCTTTTAATTAAAGGCTGGCGTGTAATTGACACGTGTCAAGGCGCAGATGAAACCATGGGTGCGCTGCTGCATGAACGAAAGCGTTTGATTGCACTGTGATGCTGAAATATATTCATACACACCTGGGTGACAAATGCAGAAACTTAACATAAAATGATCATTTAATTTGTATACTGTAAACTTTGTCATTAGTAGGATTTACTGTGAATTGTGCCAAATGCTTTGTTTTCAACATCAACAGCATCTTTGCATCTCTTTGACTTGTGACTATAATTTTGGTATTTTCTACTCAATTTTGTGAGAATTTAACAGGATTTTCTTAATTGGTGTTTAAATTCAAAGTTGTCAAGAAAAAGTGCCATGCACTTATCACCGCAGGTTGGAAGCTGTTTTACAATTAAGCTCAAGTTTTACATTTCAGCGGGTTGTGCATATTGCACACATCACATCACTTTGTTCATCACATCACGATTTTCTTCCCCCATACCTTGGGCTTTAAATAATTCCTCTCCATTTAAACGGGTCATTCAGTCAGTGTTCAGCATATTTAAGTCTGTGTGTGTGTGTTTGAGGGAGAAAAGCAGGGAATTTGGTATATAAGGCGCTCATATGGGCCCTTTTACAGAAGCATATCATACTTCTGTATTCACCTGTAATTGCGTCCTTTGCGTTGCAGGTGAACCCTGCACATCAAACTGACTTTTGGCATGAATCCGGGGTGATTTAATCCTTTTTGAGTTGGAGATTGTGCTCTACTTTCCTTCATCTGCTTGCATTAGCTATGTAATCCCATCTCATTCACTTTCTCATTTTGGGGACTGGCAGCGCAGTTAGAGGAAACTGCAGGGAAGATGAGGCGTTTAGTGGAATGTGCTCATATTTGAGCAGTTGACCGAGCATGATTTGGCAGTCTGTGATTTAATTAGTGTTGGTTTGTTAATCAGGGACTTTCTGCTTGCTGGACTTTTTTTTTTCTTCCTTGAGTCCGTGTTCCTAGCATATGTTCAAGGGCGCTTGTTTGTGCGTGTGGGGATGTTTGCAGGTCTGTGAATGTTGTGCGGTGTGCGGTCCTCTGTGAAAGCTTAGCACAAACAATGAGGCCAAACAGCTGGTTTTAATCAGGAGTGAGAAGAACGTCTGCTGACCTCACATTTGCCTGTGGCTCTTTGGAAGTAATGAGCTTTCAGGTAACCACATTTATTTAAAAGATGGGGATTTTTTTTTCTTGTGTATTAAATATATTTTTATCTTTCCTCTTCTTTAGCTTTGGATATTGCATTCCCCCCCCACATCAAGCTCTTATATATATGGAACACATCGTATTTCCTAAGAGAATGAAGTCAAAATTGTCTTTTGAATTAGCTGAACATCATTCATTATTGAAATTAAGATGCAAAATCCAGTCACAAAGTGAGAATTTATCATTTGAACAAATCTCTAGGCATATACGCTGCAAAACAAAAATCTTTAAACAACCACAACCTTGCAGAGCAACTGACGACAGCCTCCGAGGCAACTTTAAAACCTCAAAGCTATACTTTGATCTCCTCTAGGTATTCAATGATTAATACATAGAGAAGACCAAAGCAATCTAAATGCACTGGGTAGGCCGCTGATACTCTCAAGTAACATTCTCCTCCAGAACAATCAAGGAAGTGACAATGTCTGGAGGTGAATGTAGAGTGACTTCATTATCTCATGCTGCTGTCAAGATTGCTGAATGTTAACAACGTTCATCTCCTTCTCTTTTCTGTACTTTTCTCTTTTGTCTCGCTTTTGTGTGCGAACTGGATCAATGTACAGAGTACAATGTACCTTTTAAACAGAATGCTTTTTGTTATATCTGACCTAACACGATGGTGATTGAAGCAAATATTTAAATATTGAATTGATTTGATACCTGTGTCACTAATGTCTCTCTTAAGTTTGTATGAGAGAGAAAGTCTTAATTAGCCCTTCTACAAATTTATGTCTTAAATTGGAGCAGAAAGTCAAATTCATAAAGTCATATAACATTACATGTTGTATGCACTGCCAAGAAGCTTCATGCAGTTTTGTCTTGTTTTCCAGTTCAAATATCTAAACATCCTTAAATCAAGATTAGTGGTTGACCGATATTGTTTTTTTGACAGCCGATGCCGATATCTCGGAAAGCAGGGTGGCCAATGGCCGATATAAAGCCAATATAATTGTATTTATTTTAATTAATATTTAAGAAATTTTAAATAATTTGAAAATGGTTTAAAAAATTCATTTATAAAATAAACATACTTTAGATGACAAAGTATTTTCCACAAATAAATACATATTTAATAAAAATATAATTAAAAAGGAAGTAAACTGTAACCAACAGAGCACTCAGTATTCTGGGAAGTTTGTGTGCATTGGGAATCATATTTTTTCAAATAAAGCCAAGGTAACACTCATTTTACATACAGCACACAGTGAAAAGGACATGAATATGACAGTGTAAATGCATAAAGCGCAGCATAATTTGAAATCAAGAATTTAATGTTTGCACGGACCGAAAGTCACGCAGAGAACACGCGATCATACAGGTCACATGCACACTTCACAAGATCTCACAACTGGATTCGACTAAGTTTGCAAGGTTTTTGAAATGAGATGTTCATTAGTCATTCAAAGATTTGTTTAAATGACAACTTTTAATTTTCCGTCGGTCTTAGTACACGATGTAACTACAGAAGCGTTTTAAATAGGAAAAATATAAAAACTCTTTGGGCATTTTTGAGCGAGATGCTAACGGTCTAATCAGATTCAATGATCTATGCTAAGCTACAGCTAAAAGTGCTACCACCAGACCCGGAGATCAGCTGAATGGATTCGAAAACAGTAAAACTCAACTGTTTAACTATAGGGGAGTTGGAAAATGAGCCTATTTTCAAAAATAGTGGCGTGTTCCTTTAAAGACGACAGCGAACAAGAGGGAGAATGTGAGCACTGTGTGCTCAGGCGCTGCCGTTCTCAGCGCCATCAAAATAAAAGTCCCGCCTCGAATGCATCCGTCAAACAGAAAACTTATCGGCTGATGCCGATATTTGAAAAATGCCAAATATCTGCCGATATATCGGCCTTGGCGATATATCGGTCGACCACTAATCAAGATATATTTACATGGGATGCAAAATAAAGACAGTTGAAGTCTTGTTTTATAAGAAATTGAAAGGGGTTTGATTTTTTTTTTGTCTTCATTTGAATTTAGTAGATTCTGGCAGATTTGTTCTTGTTTTAGTTGTAAATTCAACTTCATTTTAATCAGTTTCACACAAAACACGACTTGTTATCTTCTGTCATTTTGCTTCTCACTGTATCTTGATTTTAAAATGACAAAAATAACAAGGAGGTACATTACATTTTTGCAGTGTGATAAAGATCTGTTGTATTTTCAAATTGTTGCTAATATAACTCATTGTATGCTCCCTAGAAATGTACATTTAGGCCTAGAGAATATATCGACATAATATTTTCCCTGTTTTTACTGTTTTTCATCTTATCAAACTTTTCATCTTTTCATCTCATTTATGAAATGTACCTTCATAAAACCCTGTATAAGCCAAAAAATACTTGCAATATTATACAATATTTTAACTAATTTTGCCAGATCACTAATAAAATATGTAATGTTTATATACCAATCTACTGAATCAGATTTGTACCTTAAAATGTATTTAGGCTAGTACTACCTTGATGATACAGGTGTTTTAGCAAATAACAATCGTAAGTGGCCTGTTCATAACTCCAATACACACAAAGCCAAAACACCATCCGGGTAAAACACATGATACTGAATTAATACAATAAACATTAACTCATAGAACAAATACAACACCAAAACACACTAATGTATGCTACTGATTACAAAAACGTATACAAAACTATTTAAATAAAATGAAATCATGCATGATATGTCAGGCAGGGATTTCTGGGAATGTCCTTTTACTATTTTCCGTAGATTAACTCCCCAACTCTTAGTTTTTACTTGCAAAAAGCGTTTGTATTTTTAACCGTATGTAGAAAGGAAACTTGCTGTTAACCAATCAACAGGTTTATACTATGTAATTTTTACATAAAGACTAAAATGCTAAGCATTTTTTTTTCATGTTGAACACTGTTCAACATTTTGATTTTGAATCTAAATGATTAGATTTTACATTTGCATTTTACAGTGCAAGTATACATAACTGATGTGCCTGTGTCTTAATAAATCTTCATAAATGTAAATTATTCCAGACATCATCTCTCTTCCTACAAATCACTTGATGCATCTTCCTTTTCTGTGCATGCTGATGTGTTGCGTCTGTAGAATCACTGAGCAAGTCTGGGTAATTTGACCAAACAGTCCAGTCTGAGTTGTTTTTCTGGGTCTTTCCTTCCTGTTCCCCCTACATTTCTTCCTCCCCCTACATCTTTATCCTCATGACCCTTCAGCTTTCTTGTCAGAGCACGTCTGATGCTGCCATTCTTTGTGTTATCAGTGCTGTGGGATCAATTAATCCCTGCACAGAGGATGCTGATAAATAGTTTGTGTGTGCTTGCGTACAGAGCCAGTATTTGTGTGCAAACCAATGACAGACTTCGAATCCCAATCTCAACAGCGCAGTGTAATCTTACTTTAGAGATGTCATCGGCTGTCTTGCTCAAGCCCTCTTTCTCTCTCGATTAGACATGATGGAGTCGAGCTCCTTGTAATTCAGTGCAAGTTTTCAGATTGAACAGAGATTGACAC